CAACACCACACGGACAAGCAGTGGCGGCTCCTGCAAAATCTCTCAGGGGGGGGCAAATGTCTGGATGATTGATAAGGATAAGGTCCACCCATGCAATGGATAAATTAACAGCTTAAGCATGTAAAGGCAACTTCACTTCTTTAATATTAATGAAAAATAAAGTGACTCTTGCAATACATCTTGTTTGTTTCTATACTCACTATTAAAACAAACCACTCAAGTTTCCTTTATTAAAGATTCCACTAAGTGGTCACAAATTATATTGTTGGATGAAACGTGCTTACGTATGATGACGTAAGCACGTTAGTGCATGCCCTCCCGGAAGTCATAGAGAATGCATTGCAGCGCCCCCGTTCGAAAAAAAACATCTTTGAATGTAAGTCTATGGGGCCACTCGGGGCGATTCTCAGCCGGAGTGAAATCGCCCAAAAAGAGGCGGTACTCCACAGAACGTGACATGACGCTGATTGGACTATATCCAGAGGCTGCAGTGACGGCTAGCGTGACTCTGTGGTTGAATGACATTGGTGGTGCGTCGCCCAATCGCCCTAATGAAGAAACCGCCCCTGCGGACAAGGCTGAACATCGGAATGATTGGAGGTGCCATTTCACGTAGGGCGCTTCGAGATGCTGGGGGGCGTTTCAGCGAGCGGCCAAACAAAATGCGAATTTAATTAAGTCAATTAATTAAGTTAATGAATTAAGTTAATGGGTATTCTTAGGTTTTTTCGGTTAAGTCACGTAAGTAAAACATCAAAATACAAATAAAATAAAAATAAAAATCACGACGTTTCGGAGGCAACACAAGTCTCCGTCATCAGGTGGGACCGTCACAGCCGAATTAGCTGCATCGAAACGTCGTGATTTTTATTTTTATTTTATTTTTATTTTGATGTTTTACTTACGTGACTTAACCGAAAAAACCTAAGAATATGAATCTTTGCAGTCACGAAAGCTTCAAATCTAGAATTAAGTTAATGGGGTTAAGTATATCAAGAACTCGTTTCTATTCACGGGTTTCCATGGTTATGGGGGAGGGCGGGTGTGAGGGAGGCTGTTCTTTCCCAAGGTAACTTAACCCGGATCGAGCCATTGACAAGAATTGGGGATTTGCATTAATTGAGGGCAATTACTTCGATGCCCCAAGCTTCTCACCACCGTGGTCGTCACGGTAGCGAGATGTTAACTACCTCGCCTGGTATACAGGATGTCGACGGTTCCATCCCGAACCCCGACGCCTGCTGTATATTTGGAGTTTGCGTGTCTCGCTCCCCGTGATCGAGTGGATTTTTTCTCCGGGTCCTCCGGCTTTTCACTCCACATTAAGAAACAACATCATGCGTCTTTGGCTGCTATAAATGTCCACTTCGTTGAGCTATCATTTGTGAGGTCTAGGTCGCTTCCGAAAAAGAGCTACATGGCTCGGTGGGCCTTACTTGGTCAAAATAAAACAAATAAACCCGTAAAAACAAAGTTTTTCACTATAAATCCTTTATATGCGTGGCGGCTCGAGTCCTCTCGTCCTCTGGCTTGAGATGGCTGCCACCTATGGGTCAGATGATTGTCTGCCACCATTAAGCAATTGGTAATTAAATATTTAATTTGTTTTCCCTAAACAGTGTAAAAATTTGGATTTTTTTTCACGAAAATTAATTGTCACACACGAGTCTGTGTGGAAAATGTCAGCTCGATTGGATCACGGGAAGTGGGTTAAAAAACGACCGAAAGATTTGCACGGTCCTAAGCAAGCAAGCAAGCACGCAAGCAAGCAAGCAAGCACGCAAGCAAGCAAGCAAGCACGCGAACTTAACATAAAGGATTTAAAAAGAGATTAGTTTATAGTCTCAAAGCACATTGCATCGCATCTTGTGTCTCTCATGCCATGAGACCAGACTGCAATTGGGCATTAGTCTGGCGTTTGGAGTTGGGACGAGCTTATTCGTGGAAATTGTCAGTTAAGTCATTGTTAAGTAAACCCGACGATCAAATTTGTCTAATTTGGATCGTGACGCCGACATAAATGGCCTGCCTGTAGGCTTGAAAAGTAGACCCCCCCCAAAAAAGCCCTGTATCTACGGCAAATCAATGTGTTTGAGGAGTAAGTGGACGAGAGCGGTCAAGGAGCGAACGAGTAGGGACGATATCAAACATCACCTCTGATGCTGCCGTCGTAGAAGCCAACGAGGTCAATGGGGCAGTGTTGGGCGGCGCGCATCAAGAACGGCGGACGAGAGGCGAGGGAGACGGCACTCGCAGAGGTTAGAGGCCACGGCTGGACGGGAGCAATTGCGGTGAGGGAGGAATGGGGGGGGGGGGCAGGAGGGGGGGCTTTGCCCAGCAGTGGGAATTCACAGGCTGACAAAAGGGCGCTGTGGGGGGGGGGGGGGGGATGGGGCGGTGCAGTTGGCGGGGGATGATCGATGAATGTTCGACTCTCACCGGGGTGAGTGAGTAACGAGCGGCTCGTGAAGCTTCAGCGATGCCGTGGAAGCAGAGGGCATGGTGTGGTAGCGACGGGAGAGCGACCGAGGGAGAGGCCGACTCGACCGAGCAAGTGACTTGGAGTCCATTCTGCCAGTGGTTGCATCATCCAGCACATGGGAAGATATGTCGCCGGCATTCCAACGTGCGGCCGAGCCTCGTAAACAAAGGACTTTGGGGCAACGTTGACTCAATGTTCGCCCAACGTTCACCCAACGTTGGTGGACGTTGGGGCAACGTTATCCCAACGTTCGCCCAACGTTCATCCAACGTTGGTGGACGTTGGGGCAACGTTATCCCAACGTTCGCCCAACGTTCATCCAACGTTGGTGGACGTTGGGTCAACGTTATCCTGATATTCGCCTAACTTTCACCCAACGTTGGGCGAACGTTTGGTCAAACGTTTTCCCGATGTTGGGCGAACGTCGGGCGAACGTTAAGCCAACGTCCACCAACGTTTCCCAACGTTGGTGGAAGTTCGGTCAACGTTATCATGATGTTCGATCAACGAATGTTCGACCAAATTTGGGCAAACGTTCGGCGAACGTTGAGCCAACGTCCACCAACGTTGCCCCAACGTTCAGCAACATTGGACCGACGTTGCACGCGCACCGGGAGAGTTGAAGTCGTCGCGATCCTCTCTTTTGAAAGAGAGAACACCCCCCATTCGTCTCAGCGGGCTCTTGTCCGGCTGAGCGACACTGAGTTCAATGATGATGATGGTGGTGGTGGTGGCGACGATGACGCTGATGATGATGATGGCTTCACCTCGAGAAATGCGGGAAAATGAACGGAGCCGTCATTCGGACGGACGGAATGGCCTGTCACTCGGGCGTGTCATTAAATTGCTGGAAACGCCTCCGCCGCCGCCACGGCTTTGCGCCGAGCCAATTTTCATCTCGCGCGCCTACAGGAGGGGGGGCAGGGGGGTAATCGAGTCTAAATGCTGTGTAATGAGACGTAATTTCACAAATCGTGGCACAGCAAGGAATAGCAATCACCAGGCTTGGGTCCGAGTACTGTGCCCCTCATAGCGTGTGTGGGTGTGTGTGGCGGTGTGTAAACATCGCCACTAGGGTGACAAAGATGGTCGGGCGTGGTTCTGGCCACACTCACCCCCCCCCCCTCGTGTGCTCATCGGTGCTCGCTAACAGCACTTGCCCCAAAAGCCAAAAGTGTGTCGAGGCTATACGGGGGATCTTTGTCTGTGGCACGTCATGTAAAGATAAATATCCCCCGTATAGCCTGCACAGACTGTTCGGGCGCTGTTGGCAAGTGCTGTCAGCGAGCACACAGCACTCATGTAAGGCTGAGTCTGTCTCTGTGTGAGTGTGTGACTGCGATTGCGTGAGCTTCTCTCTCTCTGTGCGTGGGCTCGTCTCGTGTTGGAGATGATCGCCCCCCCCCCCCCCCCGCTGTCCCCACTCGTTCTCGCTGCACCTCGCCGCCCGCATCTCCGTCTCATCACGGACATGTCGTCACGTGGCTGCCCGGGCGCCGGTGAGAGAATGAAAGTGGCCGCCGTTAGCCGGTGCCTTCTACGAGCCCTTCACCACCCCTTCCCCCACCGACAACTCTCCCTCCTCGTGGGGATTCTGCTCTTTCCCTCCTCGTGGGGATTCGCCATCAGATATTTGTGGGAATCTGAGTTGAGTGACCGCCTCGGGTCACGAAGCTCCGTCTCTCCTCTCTCTCGGCCATCACCGTGGCCCCCTCCTCCCCCTCCCAATCCCCCCCTCCTCCCCCTCCCTCCCCCTCCCAATCCCCCCCTCCTCCCCCTCCCAATCCCCCCCTCCTCCCCCTCCCTCCCCCTCCATCCCCCTCCACCCCCTCCACCCCCTCCACCCCCTCCACCCCTCCCCTTCCTCCCCCTCCACTCCCTCCCTTCCCCCTCTACCCCCTCCACCCTCCACCCCCTCCCAATCTCCCCTCCACCCCCTCCCTCCCCTCCACCCCCTCCCTCCCAATCTCCCCTCCACCCCCTCCCTCCCCCCTCCACCCCCTCCCTCCTCCCTCCACCCCCTCCCTCCCCCCTCCACCCCCTCCCAATCCCCCCTCCACCCCCTCCCTCCCCCCTCCACCCCCTCCCTCCTCCCTCCACCCCCTCCCAATCCCCCCTCCACCCCCTCCCTCCTCCCTCCACCCCCTCCCTCCCCCCTCCACCCCCTCCCTCCCCCCTCCACCCCCTCCCTCCCAATCCCCCCTCCACCCCCTCCCTCCCCCCTCCACCCCCTCCCTCCCAATCTCCCCTCCACCCCCTCCCTCCCCCCTCCACCCCCTCCCTCCTCCCTCCACCCCCTCCCTCCCCCCTCCACCCCCTCCCAATCCCCCCTCCACCCCCTCCCTCCCCCCTCCACCCCCTCCCTCCTCCCTCCACCCCCTCCCAATCCCCCTCCACCCCCTCCCTCCTCCCTCCACCCCCTCCCTCCCCCCTCCACCCCCTCCCTCCCCCCTCCACCCCCTCCCTCCCCCCTCCACCCCCTCCCAATCCCCCCCTCCACCCCCTCCCTCCCCCCTCCCTCCCCCGCTGCTCTCGACGTTCAAAGTGAGCCGAGTCGAGGCGAGGAAGTCCCGTCCGCCTTGAGCGGCTCCACTCGTCAGGGATGAGATGTCACGCACGAGTGACGTCACACCGCAGGTCAGCACAGGTCGTCGTTGCACGTCGTCTAGAGATAAGTAAAGCGGGCTTGGGTGGGGGGGGAGAGTGGGGGAGTGGGGGGTGGGAGAGTGGGGAGTGGGGGGTGGGAGAGTAGGGGGGGGGGGGACGATGGCTGGCAACCACTGGCTGGCCTGGTTCGTAGCGCGGCGCGGTGACGACTACGCCACCCTCTCCCCGTACTGACAAACACCGCCGCGTGGGTGCGGAGTTAGGGGAGCGGGGGGGGGGGCTGGGAGGGGGCGGAGGGTGATGACACACACGAAGACACACACACAATACACACAACAACAACAACAACCGCCATTCGCCACTAAGTGGCGGTGACGTCACCACGATGCTTGTCCCAGGCCATGTGCATCGTGAGGCCACGTGAAGTGTCGAACGCCCGCTGGCAGGAGGTCATGGGGCAGACCCAGGTGCCACGGGTCGACTGACTGAGACGACTGGCTGATACACCACCTGTGCCCCCTACTGTGCCAACTTGCTGTGCTTTATCCACCCGGTGCTCCGCTCGTTGTTGTGAGCGTCGCTCCTCCGCCATCCGTTGTTGTTGGAGGGCGACCGCCTCCAACTGCCCAGTAACGTCCTTCACGAGCCTCCTCCACAGAGGCCGATCTTGACGCCGCTGGTACCAGTCATCGGCAAGTCCACTCAGCTCCACGTCCTCCTGTACCACATCACTCCATCTCTTTTCTCGCCCGTGCTGCGCCCGTTCAGCCCCCTCGATCCGGCCGAACAAAAGCTGTTTGGGCATGCGGTGATTGGGCAACGCAGCCTTGCCTGCCGGAGGAGCTCACCGATGGGACTATGTCCACATCTTTGAAGGATTTGTGATCTCCTCACACAATCCAGCTTGGATTGACACACACACACAGACACACACACAGACACACACAGACAGCGCTGCACACATCAGCTGTGTACGCAACCACATCGTCTATCATCAGCGGTGCAATTCCAATCTTGGGAGGCGTGCACTTTTATTCAAATTGTGCATCTTTAATACAAGGCGCAACATTGACTATTTCAATATACATATAGAGTGTGCGTGTACGATGAACGGCGAAGACGCAGCATCATCAATTCTGGCTAAATCGCCCGATGATGCTACTCGATGTAGTTCCCGGCGACATTTCGCGGTCCTCAAATTGTGAAACGTTGCGTGGATTTACTCTCCAACACACCGGCAGGCTGAAGCCGTGAACCAATTTGCCACGTTCTGTTTACGGGACAAACATTACTGGTTCGCCGTGTCGGGTGGTGGCGGGTTTAACGACGCATTTATATATTTACACGATCTAACCCAAACCTCCCCCCTCTATTACACTGGTCAACAACAACAAAATCAATTTTTTCTGGCCTGGACTTTTGCAGCTGTTTTAGACTAATTTCAGGGTGCTGATTCCAAATCTGATCTCAGATTTGCTCTATCACATCTCATTTTTATGCTATCGGCATACCCCATTTTCATTGATTTTACCCGAAATTAACTTATGATTGCAAGTTGTTGCGAGTCAGTGACTGATTTAGTGTTAAAATATAGTGCTGTATTTTTAGGATAGTGTGTTTATAATATCATCTTATGTAGATATCAACATTTATTTAATATTTTTTCTTCAGTTTTTATTGAAAATGCATTATTTGATATCTCAAAAACCTGATGTGATAGACAAAAACTGATGCCAGATTTGGAATCGGCACCCCAAAATTACATTAAAACCCTTGGAATACCTTGTACCAGAAAAAGTGTGTTGACCAGTGTTATCGATCAATGCGGTGATCCACCGACCCTTGCTGCTGCCTCCACGGTGCTGGATTAGAGACGGCCACGTGGCCACCACGCTGCTGATGAATCCTGCCCATCTGTGCAGCTGCCGCGTGAAGAGATCCCCTGGGTTGCAAGTCCAGGCTGCGAACCATTGCACCACGGCATCGTGTACATCACGCAGGTAAGATAAAGGATAACATTGTAGTCGCCATCCCTAGCTCGCATCACTCTCATCCCTCCCACCCCATCACTCTCAGCTCCCCACATCACTCTCACCCCTCCCGCCCCATCACTCTCACCCCCCCCCCTCCCCATCACTCTCACCTGTCCGCATCGCTCTCACCCCCCATCACTCTCACCCAACCCCACAATGAAACCACTCTCATAGCAAAATGAGTCCCAAAAATTGGAATTCGCGCATTCAAATGTCAGCCTCCATTAGCAGGACATCAACAGCGAGTGACCTGGCGGGGAGGGGGCGGGGCGGGGGTGTGGGGGGGGGTAAGGGGACCTTTTCAAGCGGCCGCTTTTGGGGCTCTTAGCTTCTGACCGTGGAGAGAGGCCCTCGGATCGCGTCACAACGGAGGCAGCTGATGGCCTCTTCCGCTCGTCCCGTGATCACGAAGAGCAGCGACAAATAAAAATCCCCCTCCTCCTCCCCCTCCTTCTTCTCCTCCATCACCACCACCATCACCACCACCATCACCACCATATCATCATAATCATCATTCTCTTCCGTCACCACCTCTTCATGATTACCATCATTCTCCCCCATCGCCACCAACGATGCCCGATCCACAAATACGAAGGAGACATCACAGCGATGATGATGATGATGCACTACTCCGCCGCTCCTAGCGCCGTTGTCTGAATGTGAAATTGCAGTCGGTGCCCTTGCATCTACATCAGCAGCCGTTACGGAAGAAGAAGAAGACCAAATTTCGATTTAAAGCTTTCGTGACTGCAGGGATTCATCTTCTTGGTTCTTTCGGTAAAGTCACGTAGAAGGGAAATAATAAAATAATACAACATAATAAAATTATTCTCACGACGTTTCGGCCACAACGCAAGCAGCCGTCCTCAGGTGAAGAACAGGTCTGTCGGGGAGACGCTGACACTGTCTCCCCGAGGACGGCTGCTTGCGTTGTGGCCGAAACGTCGTGAGAATTATTTTATTATGTTTTATTTTTATTATTTTATTTTTCCCTTCTACGTGACTTTACCGAAAGAACCAAGAAGAAGAAGACCACCAACATCACCTTTTCCATGACCACCACCTCCGCATCCTCTTCATGATAATCATCATCAAGCACCCTCTTCTAACATCCTCCACCATCGCTATCTGACCATCGCAACATCGCTGCCATTTCTGTAGAGCAGTGGGAACAGCTACCCACGTATAGAATTGAATATATTATTGTGTTATCATTAGAACTGAATGTTCCCTAAGCCTCCAAGTCCTATTGAATTTCTCTCCATGTGGAATGTAATTTTCTCCAGGTGGAATCGAATCGGCTGGCCGTGGAATTGAATATTCTTCGTGTAAACTTAAACATAAATTACATCGGCTCCTCGTGTGCAGGGTTGCGATTTCCGCACCAATTTCCGCAAACATGCTGTTTTCGACCGCATTTTGCGGTAGTTTCTGTGACCCTCTTCCGCACAAATTTCCGCAATTTGCGGTGATTCCTGTGAAGACTTCCGCAAATCGTGACTTCGATTCCCGCCTTTCTCGGTGCCGTACTCGCGCGGTTGGCGCACATATCTTGCGTATGCCCATTTGGCTCTGCTGACTTCTGGAAAAAACGATATGTATATATGAACTATGGATTCCTGCATTCAGACAGCGTTGTTGGTGCGCACAAACTGTGAAAAAATCAATGAGAGCCGCGAGCTCTTGTGCGTCGAAGTACTTGTCGATGCCGTCGATGAAGCACACTTGCCACAAGTACACGACGCCACCGTTGACATGTTTGTCGCCGATAGGAATCCCTACGGTTGCATCTTTCCGGATCGACGCAACCCCCGGCGCTGTGCTCAGGCCCTTTTGCCCAGCCCCATGATGTCTCCTAGCGTCTGCCATTCGGAGCCCTCGCAGTACTCGTAGCGACAAAGGAAAAACAAAAAACTGTAGCATTTTCTTTATTCATATTCTGTCGATATGCAAAACTATTCATCGTCGCTCAGATTGCAGCGCGTTGGGAAATCCACTGGTAATTTTGGCCAAGCGCTCAGATACCCACGCTGTTTTCGATACGCTCAGATACACACGCGTTTCCGCTCAGGTAATATCCTCGTCCAGCGTACGCTAATTTGCCTCTGTCGTAGCTACTTTATACCTCCTACGAATATATACACTTTACTGCTAACGATTAAAACTTTGGCGCACAGGTCGGTCGGCTGTGAGAGGGCTTTCTCTCTGCAAAACAACATCAAGCCCGAGGAGTGGTTGCTCCTCTCGTGCAAGCAGTTGAACGCGCTTATAGTTTGCGCCCGCGACAAGCCAAAACTCAGCATCTTTCACGCCGAAGACGACATGAAGCGCTGGAAGAATGCGAAGAAGTGAAAGTACATGTGCTCGTAATCACGGCTCCGCATTTGAATAAAGTATGTGGTTCTTGTGCGGAAATGCGGAAATCATATATTCATTCCAATCAGTAACTCAAAGCCCTACGTGATGCTGGGCCTTGCATGTATCCTTTCCAATAGAACGCATTAACGTGTTGTTAAAAGCGCGCGGTCATAGGAGTAGTCTTTCCACCGTTTGCGGTTGACTTTAGCAAAAATGCGGGAAAATTTGAACCCTCCTTCCGCATTTTCCATGCGGAAATCGCAACCCTGTTCGTGTGGCAGGTGCTGCCACAAATTGCAGGATCGCGAGGGGGGGGGGGGGCGGCGCCTTGGGGAGGGGGGCCTTCATCCAGCAGTAGATTGACCATTTGCTGATGATGATGGTGATGTCATTGAAAATTCTCCACGCGTGGTTAAATATTTACCACGCACAAAACATAACATTTTCCATATACATTTCACGTGGGGATTGAATATTCTCCAACACAGGCGAGGATTAACTATTATCCATCCACGTTGGGGATTTAATATTCTCCATTCCCGTTTTGGGATTGAATATTCTGCATCCAGGCGGGGATTGAATATTTTCCATTCAGGCGAGGATTGAATATTCTCTATCCACGTGAAGGATTGAATATTCTCCATCCACGTGAGGGATTAAATATTCCCCATCTACGTGGGGAATTGAATATTCTCCATCCACGTGAGAGATTGAATATTCTCCATACACGTGAGGGATGGAATGTTCTACATCTACATGATGGAATTGAATATTCTCCATCCACGTGGGGGATGGAATATTCTCCACACGGTGGTGTATCCGAGGCGTAAGAGGCTTCGTCCACTGCAGCAGCGCCAGTATCATCCCCACGACTTCCCTGCTTCGCCACTCACGAGTGGCTCAAGAGGGGGGGGGGGGGTAAGGGACACAACTATTTATCCAAACCCGCCCCCCCCCTCCGAATGCAGCGCCTTCATTCGAGAAGGCTCATCATACCAGTTGGCAGGGGCAACGTGCTTTCATCTCCCCTAATAAGCGCGGCTTAAACAATTGATTTCGATTTTCATTGTATTCATTTTTTGTTCCTTTCCAGAGCCCCATTTTGAAATCTCTCGTGCAAATTGCACCTGCAGCGGACGGGGGGCGGGATGACATTCACATTCACGCTCATTAAGCCAAATTAAAATTTCAAAGCATTTGGAATCGTTGGACATTACCCAGCGTGGGCCACACTCGAGCTCGGTATCATCCCTGCCGAGCACGTGGACCTTCCTTGCAAGATGTGAATGTTGATGAGACCTCCGTGCAGGACACGAATGTTGTTGAGACCTCTCTGCAGGACACAAATGTTCATGAGACCTCTCTGCAGGACACGAATGTTGATGAGACCTCCGTGCAGGACACGAATGTTGTTGAGACCTCTCTGCAGGACACAAATGTTCATGAGACCTCTCTGCAGGACACAAATGTTCATGACACCTCCGTGCAGGACACGAATGTTGTTGAGACCTCTCTGCAGGACGTGAATGTTGATGAGACCTCCGTGCAGGACACAAATGTTCATCAGACCTCTCTGCAGGACACGAATGTTCCTGAGACCTCCGTGCAGGACACGAATGTTCCTGAGACCTCCGTGCAGGACACAAATGTTCATGAGACCTCTCTGCAGGACACAAATGTTGATGAGACCTCCGTGCAGGACACAAATGTTCCTGAGACCTCCGTGCAGGACACAAATGTTCATGAGACCTCTCTGCAGGACACAAATGTTCATGAGACCTCTCTGCAGGACACAAATGTTCATGAGACCTCTCTGCAGGACACAAATGTTCATGAGACCTCTCTGCAGGACACAAATGTTCCTGACACCTCCGTGCAGGACACAAATGTTCACGATCTTCAGCAGCAACGACGGGGATCCCACTCCAAACGACAGCCCCGAGGTCCCCTCCCTGGGCCCTTCTTATTCTGCCAGCGAGGCCTGGCTCCGCCCCCGGCCACGCCCCCCTTCTGGAACCTACGAGCGGGTTCTCGACGTGTTCCCTTTCGTGACCTTTCCCCTAGATCCCTCTCGGGTCTATCACGTGGCCTGCTGTCAGCCAGGGCTGCTACACGCCGCAGATCCCCTTCGCTGCCAGCAGCCAGCGCTATGCTACTAAGTGACCGGATCTATGTCACTGCAATAGTAATAACAATGTTAATAATCATAGTAATAATAGTAGTGGGTGGGGAGGGGCTGGGTGGGGAGGGTGGGGCTGGGTGGGGAGGGTGAGGCTGGTTGCGGAGGGTGGGGCTGGGTGAGGGGTGGCGCTGGGTGGGGAGGGGCTGGTCACCCCGTGGTGCCCTTATAAAACTCAACGTTTCACCTACTCACGCCGGCTTGTGCCCGCCCTCACAGTCGGCCATATTTGCGGAATACACCACGCCGCCGTTGACCCTGGCCATTGACCGAGCAACCCAACGTTCCTACCAGCTCCCTCCGCAGGAATGTGTTCTAATTACTTTCAATTTGTGCATCAGGTATCATCATCTGAGTCCAACGAGAAACTGCGAGCGAGTCAGCTGATTTGGCGAGTCCGCTGCTGCTGAGCAGGACAGCCAACTAAAGCAACTCAACTCGGTTCGTCAATTAACACCAGCGTGTGGCCTTAAAAGCGACGTTTCGGGAAACCGACCTTAGTCGTAGCTATGGGAGACACGGGCCAAGGGGAGCGGGTTGATCAAGAAGCTTGCCCCATTGTTACTGCCGCGGTGTGCTAGAACCATCGCACCGATGCGGGCCACCGATCCCCCTGTAGTCCCGACCCTAATCGCGAAGCCCAACCCCAGCCGCATCCCATCCGTCCAGCGGCTCCCTTTCTCCCATGCGTAATTACGTCGCCTCCATTACACCCCCCCCCCACCAATGCCGTGACCCATGGGCCCCCCCCCCCCCACCGCTCACACCTAAACCAATTCTGATTGTAAGCAGTCGTTTCTTTCAATTGTAATCCAGTTGTGCTACGGGGTGTGGCGAATTAACTCGGCGACGGTTAACCTTTGACACGATTGGCCGAGCACATTTCCCCCTGCACCCCCTCCCTCCCCCACCAACGGCCCGGCATAGCACAACGGCCAGCAACAAACAGCACGGGTTGGAATAGCTCGGAGTTAACGCGTGTGCTGCACTGAGCGAGGTTATTGTTCGTTTGTATTATTGTTGTTGGTGTAAGGAGTTTGGGAGATGGAGACGACGATGATGGGAGGGGAGGATTCCAAAGTGACGCGTGGTGCGAGGGAAGAAGCAGAGAGAGCAGTGAGGTGACCTTGCAGTGTGGTGAGAGCGCGTGGGTGAATGGGTGAGTGGGCGAGTGGGCGAGTGAGCGAGTGGGCGAGTGGGTGATTGAGTGGGCGAGTGGGTGAGTGGGTGAGTGGGCGAGCGGGCGAGTGGGTGAGTGAGCGAGTGGGCGAGTGAGCGAGCGGGCGAGTGGGTGAGCGGGCGAGTGGGTGATTGGGCGAGTGGCTGAGCGAGTGGGCGATTGAGCGAGTGGGTGAGTGGATGAGTGAACATAGCGTGGTCGAGACGAAACAGGCAGTGTCCGTGAGTCTCCTCGACACGGGTGACGCTCACGGCAACAGTAGCCATGGCAGTAGTAGTGGTAGTAGCGATAGAAGAGTGATGAGGAGGAGGAGGCTGGCCGGCAGTGAGCGAGCCAGTGAGTGGAGTGAATCCGTGAGCTGCTGGGTCCACTGCAGCCGTGCGGGCGCTAGGAGCTGGGAGCTCCACCCCAGCCAGCTGTGATGACAGCAGCAGGATTCCAACTTAGACAGAGTTTGTGCTCTGTACAGCAGCGGTGGTAATTGTTCCGAGTCAAAGACCACCTTGGCACGGAACATACATTCCACATTCCTATGGAAAGGGAGAGTCACGCCACAAGACAACCACCGTTGCTCTTTCCAACAGCGCAGTGCTCACGTTATCGACCACGGAGAGATGATGGGCTGAGTCACCCGCCCCGCCCGCCACCTCAACCAGGAGTTGAACTCGTCACCCGTTCGCCGACTGCGAGCCGCCCGCTCTACCGCTGATCCGCCACCTGTCCGCTTAGCGAGTTGCCTTTCATCCGGGGACCTGCGCAGAATCCATAACGCGTGCATTGCGGGGCTTCGTGTTGGGAGATGTTTAGTGACACGGGGGGCGGGGGGGTGGGGGGCGGTAGGGGGTCGGTAGGGGGTGGGGGTTGGGGGAGGGGGCGTAGGGAGTGGGGGGCGGTAGGGGGTGGGGGTTGGGGGGGGCGTAGCGGGTGGGGGTTGGGGGAGGGGGCGTAGGGAGTGGGGGGCGGTAGGGGGCGGTAGGGGGTGGGGGTTGGGGGGGGTGCAGGGGGTGGGGGGCGGTAGGGAGGGCGGTAGAGGGTGTGGGGTTGAGGGGGGTGTAGGGGTGGGGGCGGTAGGGGAGGCGGTAGGGAGTGGGGGTTGGGGGGGGCGTAGGGGGTGGAAGGTGGGGGGGCGTAGGGGGTGGGGGTTGGGGGGGGCGTAGGGAGTGGGGGGCTGTAGGGGGGGCGGTAGGGGAGGCGGTAGGGAGTGGGGGTTGGGGGGGGCGTAGGGGGTGGAGGGTGGGGGGGGCGTAGGGGGTGGGGGTTGGGGGGGGCGTAGGGAGTGGGGGGCTGTAGGGGGGGCGGTAGGGGGTGGGGGGTTGAGGGGGGCGTAGGGGTGGGGGCGGTAGGGGGGGCAGTAGGGGGTGGGGGGTTGGGGGGCGGTAGGGGGTGGGGGTCCTCCCAGTGTTCGCTGTTCGTGCCGCCGAAGAGGCCGACCGCGGGATCTGCCGGTGGCGGCGGTCGTGATGAGGAGGAGGAGGAGGTGCACCCGCATTCCCCGTTATCCCAGCCGCCACCACCGCGGCGCAGCGGTGGTGGCGGCTGGGATTGTATTCATTCTAGATTTGAAGCTTTCGTGACTGCAAGGATTCACACTCTGAGGTTTTTTCGGTAAAGTCACGTAGGTAAAAAAATAAATAAATGTTAAATTAATACAAGTAATAATATAAATAAAATAGTAAATAATAAATTAAATAGTAAATCATGCTTTCTTTTTTATTTCTATTACTTTTATTAATTTTAAATGTATTTCTTTTTTTGCTTACGTGACTTTACCGAAAAAACCTAAGAGTAGGATTGTATTTTTTCCCCTGGAAGCCGCCTGTGGTCGTGATGATGATGCTCTCTGATCGCGGTGATGAATAAGTCATT